TTTTGACAGCTGTCAAAAGTTGGTTTCAATGCTTTCCTATGGGGGAGATAAAAATTCACCAAAAATTAACGAAAAGTCAGATCAAAGCCAAATTAAGTTTGCACATGTTTTAGAAGGTGTGCTAACGATTCCAAGTATTTAAAACATTTTTGAACATTTTAAGACACTTTTAAAATTGAAAAAAGTGACATCATTAAGCGAAACAGGGGACCTAAAAATGCATTCGCTATGTGAAGCATGGTCCCGAAATCGCTAAGCGAAAATCGCCCATAGGAAACATTGTTAAATGATGCATAGAATTCTTTTTAAAAAACATCGTTAAGCGAAAACATCGCTAAACGAGGCAATCGTTAAGCGAGGCACCACTGTACCAGATTTCACTATTGGTCCATCTAGATTGATAGTATCTACACAGTGCTCCTCCAGTGTTTTAGGTGGCAGTCTTACTCAGACTTAGTGGGAAATGTCATGAATTGAACCTAGGACCTACAGCATGCAAAAATTTGGCAAAAACCTGTTGTACGATGTTGTACACTTTATGTGATGCCTGTTTCTGATTTTACATGTTGATGAATTGACTTCATGTTCATGTAACCAAACGAAAAAAACAACAACCAACCATCATATTATGAACACATAATATGTACATTCTTTCTTCATTTGTCTCAACCTCTTTCCACGTTCCTCTTCTTCCTGTTTTTTTCTGTATTGAATTTGTACTTGAAAGTTCACTCAGCTAGGAACATATCTTCCTGTATTCTCTAAAGCACCAGGCACACTGCTGATGTTTTAAAGAAATAAATCTATAAATAGTAGTGACAACTGACGTTGAACTTAAATGTACCTTTGCAAAAGAACAAACAAACAAAAAACAAGTTCCTTCTGAGTTCTTAGATTTTGCAAGTGTGGAGTTCATACATTTTGAAATACTGAAATTTCATTCTGAATTAAGACTGCATCCAGTGATAATGTTTCTAATAAGGACACTGATACCAGACAAAACAAGCAAAGCAAGGCCAGAATATAGCATGGTGCTTTTATTGATGGCAGTATTAACAATTTTTAAATATGTAAAAAGTTTAGCTTCATAGAACTAAAAAAAAGTCTCTGGTCGATATAATTTGTACTTCTTGTTTATATCAGGCTTCTTCATGAAGTGCCATCCTTCTGGCAATGCAAGAAAATTCAAGCTGAAGAGTAGTAGTGCCACAACAGAATATCTGAAATTAGAAGAAAAAGAACAACATGATAATCTCTGTCATTTTGCACTCCATCTTTCAGTATGAATTAAAATTTGTGCATGCTGTATGAAGAATGTTTGGGAAAATAGTCACCAGAGAAAGGAAATTGTTCCATTTTCACTGTATGAAGAAACAGTAGGTATCGTGGAAAGGCACACAGAAAGTGAAGTTGGAAGGGGCCTACAAGTTTATGTGTCTGTACACCATACTAAATTGTGATTCTCTTGCAAATAACAACTTTACGTATGAGTTGGAACTCTTTTCTTTCATGAGAAAAAGAATCACAGTTTGAATGAATTTTAAAGAAATTATTCAGAAGTACTGAGAAGAGAAAGCATCTGAATACAAAGATGAGAAGCAGTGGATTTTGTAATCTGCTTCTCACTATACAGAGAAATCAGTATCCACACTCATGCTGGCATATATAAGTTCAAATCAGTTGCCTTGTATCCTTTAGAGGAGAAAGGCAGAGTAAAAAATATTTTAAACTAATCTAAATAAATAAATAAACAAACATCAGAGCCTTCATGAAATTCATATTTAAAAACTCATCCTCAACTCATTTTGAAGCAAACCCAACTAACAAGCTAGAGTTCCTAATCAGAAAACCTCAAACCCAACTGTTTAACCATTAACTAAAGTCAGACTTTTCAACCTACTTCAAATCCTCTGCCAATCCAATCATACTGGAAGATTGACACTGATTACTACTGCATGAGCAAATCAACAGCCTATAACGCTGTGATGATTTGTGTTTTTATGTGTTACGAGAATGGGATATGTAGTCCTAAGATTGTCCCAATAGCATCCATCTTGATTTAATGTCTGTGTCTGTGGTAGGAAAATTTTAGATGCTGTGTCAGAGAAGCTTCGTTCTCTGGTTATCTAGTTGCTAAGAGAGCCAGAGAGTTACATTCCTGGTAGTCAAAATAATTCTGCCACAAAACATGATAACAACGCAAGCTCCCATGAGAAAGTTAGGCGGGACAACAAGACTCAGGAGGCGTGTTCCTTATGAGGCATCCTGGGAAGAAGAAGGAAGTGGGTTGAAGTTGGGAAAAAAAGATGGAGTTTGACTGAGAAAGGATAGACATGTGCTTTTTCCCAAAATGGATTATAACTTTCGAATGGAGTCTTCTTGCCAACATGGACTAATGGATTACAACTGGATTTTACCTTACCTGTTGGACTATGGACTGTGAAGTCTCAGGATATGTAAGAATGACTACGCTTATGCATTATGCTAGTTTAGAATGCATTTCTTGTTTTATTTTTATAGCTGGAGTAGTGGGGGTGATCTGTCAGCCTTGATATGAAAATGTTTCTAACTGAAATGCTTTACTATAATCTGAATTCTTTTCTGAACAATATGTCTTAATAAATGCAATGGATGCAGGAGAACGGACTGAGGCTGAATCCGGATAAGACGGAAGTTCTGAGGGTGGGTGCCCCCGTGGTAGGTGGCTTGGGTGGCTCTCTCACATTTGGGGGGGCCACCTTGGCCGCGAAGAGTGGGGTCCACAGCCTCGGCATATATTTGGACCCGACGCTCACCATGGAAACGCAGG